ACGCGTCGAGCAAGAGCTCGACATCAGCACTCGTTGACTTGCAGCTGAAGTTGGAGTTTCACAATTTGTAGTACATTAAAAGAACAAGGCCTACATCCATACTACGTTCAAAAAGTGCAAACTTTGGAACCTGCTGGTTTTCTACGTCGTGTAACTTACTGCAATGTCGTGAACGCCCTAATTTTTTAAACTGCATTCTGTTTACGGATGAAGTAGGATTCACTCGCAATTAAACAGCCACAACAATCACATTTGGTTCGACGAAAATCCACGCTCGTCAAGAAGTACGATTTCAAAGACGGTTGTTGGAAATTCCCATTACCAATCATCTTAAGCAGGTACCTGGGGTTGTGAGAGGTGGGGGTGTGTCCCACCCATCCCATTTAGTCGGTACCGGTACACACAATTTTGTAGTTTAAAGTTCTGGAATAAATCCCAAGCAAAACGGTCGCACTGTTATAATTTTGGTCCTTCGAAGCAATTCTAATAATCACAAACAACGGTTTTACATAAATGTGTAGGCCGGTTTGTAAATGACCGCTTAGCTAGACCTTATGTTTTATCAAACCCAGAACTAAAGATTCTTGGGGGTTGTGGAAGTGCCACCTGGGTTTTTCCTTTCTCTAAATGTGTACGTTAGGACTGAGGTTCGTCTGGCCTGGACATGCCTTGGTGGTTGCCAACTTAGACAGCCGCGAAGGCGGTTCAGTAAAGGCGAGCTGGAAATAAACGTGCTCTCTCGGGAATAAACCCCTGGCGTGTAAACGTCAGAACAGCCCCGTGGGCAAGCTACCGCGTGTTTGTGCCGTGCGTGGAGGCCCTAAGGTGAAATGAAGGAATCCTGGAGGTTGAGCCCCCTTTGGTGCGGTGTAGTGACCAAGGTTATGCAACACGCCTCTTTGGCCTGGACTTCCACCAAAACGGGAGGTCGAAACTAACCCATCTCAGATCAATCGCCTGGGTCGTCGGGTGGGACGCCGATAGGGTGAGTCCTTGAGGGAAGGGTAGCCTAACCATGAGTAACCTCACTTGTTAAGGCTGCGTACTGCAGGATGAGCTATATCCGTCTGCTAGCCCTTGCGTCGAAGTTCGACGTTCCTTTGCTGGAATCCGTGCTGAGTGGGGACGCAGAAGGAGGAAATCAAAGTTCAAGTATATGGATAACAAAACAACAAAAAAAACATACTGAGGAAGTGACTTCGGGTGGACCTCAAACTCGAAACCCAGGCATTGTGGGGTTGCAACCTCCTAAGAGGAAGCGAGTCTACGGGACTGAGGTAAAAAGGCGAAAAAAGGCGCGCTTGCAAGCAGAGGCGGCAAATACCGGCCGGTCAAAATCAGGCCCATCCTCCTCCGGGATAAACTCCAAGGGCAAATGGCAGGCTACGATAGCCAATTCAAAAATACCCGGGGGAAAAAGACCTCAGGGTCAAAAAAAAGAGTGCAGTCTTCAACCTCCAGACCTCCGTCAGCACAGAAGCAAAAAATGATGAAGGGGCAGGGGACCACCTCTAAAGAACATAACTACAGGGAGGTAGCTGTGATTGATGTACATCATCCACTTGGGAGCACTGGACCGACAACTTGAACAGTGTCTGGCAGCGAGAAGACAAGCAACCACTTGCAGGAGCATTAAGTACACAGAAGAAATCCTAAGGATAACCTATGAAGACGAGGTGTCTCTGGAATGGCTAAAACAAACAGTGCGCTTTCTAACACGCTTGTGGGAAGGAGCACAACTTAACGTGGTCCTCTTGGCTGAGCTACCAAGGCTGGTGAGAACGACCCTGTGGATACCAGGACCACTGATGGATGTAGAGGTCGTACTTAATCCCCTGGAAGGTCAGAACCAATGGGCCCGTGTTAATAACTTGCTTCTTTTCCATCACGAGGCGAAACCCGAGGCTGTCTCTAAGGGCAACATCTTTGTGTTTGATTTTGGGATGGATGAGACCAAAACAATCAGGAAGAGGGCAGGATCAACTAGTTATATGCTGCCCTCTTTTAACCTGGAATTTAAGGAGAACAAGGCGTCCACTCAGGAAGGGCAGACTCCTATGGAAAAGGCAGAAACACCAGGGGAAGAAGCCTCTATCAAGGTGGGGAGGGGCCGCCTCAGACATAAGCGGGGGTGTACAAACTTTCTCGTAAGGAATGTCCAAGCAACTACATAAGAGAAACAAGGAAAAAAGTACACCTTAATCTGAATAAATATTCCAAGGTCCAACAACATCTCACTTAAATTCATTTTCCAACAGGATAAAACAAGAAAACTAACAATCCTAGAGGCGCTATAAATCAAATGAGCCAAGAAAAAAGGAACCATTGCATTAATGACCACATGGAACTAACGCATAAATCCATCTTCGGTACACTCTTAGATGTGAGACACAAAAATACCGGCAACAATAGAAATAGAACAACAAGCGCCTTAGCCACTTCCAGACTTTAACCGAAATAGAACAGGAAGCACAGGCATCTTGACATTTCCATGAGATCAGTCGTTTTCATCAGTAATAATGAATAACCACCCCAGTTGGGTGTAAGTCATTTTAAGTTTAATTTTTAGTTGTTAAATTGCGTCGATTTATTTAGTGTAATAATGATAGGGACACTTATACGGCAGGTGTGACATGAAGGTTTCATAAAAAATTTATTTAAAAACTGTAAAATGTTGTAGGCGGTCCGATGAAGGGCACTAAAACCCGAAACCGGTAACGTAAATTGAAATAAAAGTAGAAAAAAAAGCGTTTTTCGATTAAACAAACCAAAACAAAAATGTAACAATCAAATTAAAATTTGTGGGATTAGCAATTAATGTCAAACAAAAGTAATATCTCATTGCTTTGACGTACGAATTACCACGACTTTATTCATAGAATCTAGAGTATTTTTTTTATTATTATTTTGACTAACAGACTAATCAGTTTTTTGACAAACTGATACATTATAATATTAAATTCATTGCCTAACAACTTCATACCATGGGAGGTAGTCGCATTTATAGTTATGACACATGTACGCGCCAATTCCCTTGGCATGCATTTTTGTAAAAGCGTTCAAAGAGAATTCAAAAAGTGGCAACGCTTACTGAAAATGTCTAGTAGACTCTTGACACCAGACGAAAAATGTTCCAATCACTCCCAACGTGTGCTTCCGTAACTATTCTGAAAACCGCATAATCTAAGAAATTTCCAGATAGCAAATACTTAGTTTTTTTCTTTTTTTTTTATACAGGTGAATGACGAATAAAAGGAAGCCTACCAAAGCCGAAGATGCAAGTCACAATACATTTTCAGAAGTTTCATAGATTTATTATTCTATTATCACAAATTTTAGACATAGTTATCTAGGTTTTGACATATTTCAAGCTTTGAATGTCGTTGATGGTCAAAGAAAGAAGAAGTACAGGGACGGTAAATAAAATATAGGTTTTTGTATTAGTGGACAATAATATCCATATGAGCCAGAAACACTTGCCAGACCAGCATGTATTAGTCAATTATCTCTCCATTAAATACTGAAAGGAAACAAATTTCGTCCATATCATTTAACATTAGCCCAAAAATTGATCGGCTTTAAAGATGAGTCCTTTTTGCAACGTTTTTAGAAAAATATCAAAATTTTAATAATTTAGAATATTTCGTTAAGAAAATGTTTATTAAAAAATGTTGTTTCAAGTGAGATATTAATGATATTTAGATAATAAAATAATTGTTTAGAAATAATGCATCTGTAAACTGTTTTCATTATTTCACTTTTCTGTTATGAAATTATGTATAAATAAACACTTTCTTTTCTTTAAGCACAGTTTATAGAATTTGTCAACGTTTTGTCCAGTTTTGTAAAAAGACAAAACGATATTTATAAATCGTACATCTTTCCACAATGTTTACACTGAGTGGAAGTTAAGCGAGTATTTTTTCTATGCTGTGGTAACTTGATATGGAACGTTGCAGTTATAAAAGTAAAGTATTTTTTAATAAGTCTTACCACAAAATCGTTTGGTACAACACGACACTTATATAGCCAAAGAAATACCTCAGGATGTTTTACTGTTCGGATATGCATTATTATTATCATGAATACAATATATGTAGATCGTTAATGTTAGCTAGTTTCATAGTGAACTTAAACACTTTATAACATTTAAGAGAGTTTCTGCTACGCAAACATATTCCTGTAACAATAAATTACAGGTAAAGTTTTTTAACTCAAAAGGCCTTCAGCGTTGAAAACTAGGACAGGATAACTTTTAAGCATTTTTCACCTTTGCTGAACACAGTAACCAATCTTTTTAATACGTCATTAAAATGCAAACTAAAATGAAATTATTTTTAAACAAAAAAATTAGTCACCCTTACGTTCACCTTGTCTCTGGAGTTGCATCAAGAGAGTCGTTAAGGAAGTCTGTCAAGTCAAGTGTTGTCGTGTCGTGTAGTGTCTCGCCACCTAGGAAACTGCAACACGTGGTTTGTTAAAACTTGCTACAACTGAACCCTAAATCTCCTCTTTCGTCTTCCTAATCTGACGAATTCCCCCAGAGCTTTACTTTAGACAAGAATGAAAGCCAGCAACGAGTTAGATACCTTCAAATAATTAACATAATATTAACGTAATATATCTTCATCTCTGCTGTCTTACGTAATTTGTGAAAATTTATAACTTGATTAATTTACAACAGTTCTCTACGTACGAATAAATGCATGCTGGTTAATCTAAAAACTTGTGCTGTTTACCTAAATAGACATTACACGACAGTACAACCTAGAGATTAAACCAATATTTTTGCACAAATTATTCAAATTTGCAAAAACAAATACAGAAAAATTGTTATTACTAATTAAGACAACATACGAATTAAAAAAGTGATAAGAGAAATCGGAATTACAAAACTAATAGTTCAATAAATAAACATCACTTTTTGCGAAAATAATTCAAATACAATTTTTTGTACGACACTGTAAGAAAGATGTCAATTTCAGACAATTCAGTGGGCATGACAGTTGACAATTTCATTAAGAGACACGTAAATAATTTTCGTGCAAATTGTGAGCTACAAACAGATTTTGGTAAATTTTTAACACTTTTCATAGATTTTTATATTATATTATTATTGGCTTTGTAGAAAACGATGGATGTAGACAAGCGCCTCGTCTATAGATATTGATAGTACACCACCAGAAGTGCTTGAAGCAGGCTACTGTTCCTGTTGACGCAGATGGAGACAAGACTACTTTTAAGCGCCAGGGTGGAAATATTCTGCTACCGCCAAAGAATATATTGATGAATCAGTTACCAATAATTACCAATAAAATGCAAATTGCAGATAAAATTTTAAATGCTGTTACTAATTCATCAACATTAAACATTACAACAGATCCTGACACACTCTCAACTCCAATTCTTTAAGAAATCCCATTTTCGGCTGTCAAATTAATAATCTAACTATTAATTTTGTTGATTTTAAAATAGTATATTAAAGAACGAGTTTCATAAGGCAAATATTAAAGCACGAACCCAAGTTTATCGAACGAGCGGCGAAGCCGCGAGTTATGTAAAGGATGAGTGCCACAATGCCCTTATGAAAGAGCTATTTATACTATTTTTTCTACCGCGCAGGTTTTTTTTGCAAAATTTAATTGAAATTTGCGTTTATTTAAATCTGGGGAATTTTGTCGTGGCTGGTGATGAACCACGAAATATTTGAAATTCGAAGTTTTACAACAACTGTAGTTCGAATCAATTCGAGTTTTTGTAAGTTAAAATTTGTTAAAATGTCTTGTGAAAAAGTTAGTGAAGTCCTTACGCCTCCCGAAATACGGGAAATTTTAATTTGAGATTTGCCACTGACATTCACCTGACATTTTTCGTCATGGCTACCAATCTTACCGATCTAAATTACACCAGATCTATTTCGCTATTAAAGAACCGCTTTGAGGTCAGTTGGTTGCTTTAATAGCTCTATTAGAAAATCAAAAAACGTGCGCGGTAGAAAAAATAAATATTTTGCAATAATTACTTTTTTCAATGTCGTAGGAAAAATAGTAGTGCCGAAGGAAAAATATTGTATCAAACTCGCTGCAAGTGTCTATCGTTTGCGCGAGAGATTTCGGCACTCGGCTGCCGCTTTGTGCGTCAAAATTCTCATTCACTTTCCATATTCTTTATGTAATATATTATTTCCACATTTGTTCACGAATTTCCTAGGCACAAATTTTGTGTAAACTTAAAGGTCAAATTCATATCATAAACAAAGAAACTTGCATTATTTTAAATAAAGTTACTGTAATGTTTGATATCATCTACTGTTATTACTTATTACAGAGAGTTGCAATAAATAACGCTTTAACTACTTTTTAAACATCACTATTTGGTAGTCCAAATTGTTCTTCCAAATTATTTACTAACTTAATAATGATAAACGTGGTCACTATTTTCCATAGAGTTGAATATGGTGTTAATGCTCCACTACTTTTTATAAATAAACTATTCATGCTCGAAAAACGAACGATTTCAATCTACACAGTTTTTATTTCTGGTAAAATATATTTTCAGTTATTCTAATTTTTGGGCTTACCCTCTTCAAGTTCAGTAAATCCAACTTGGTGAACTTGACTTGCAACTGGGGGAAGAGCCAAGATCAACAGTTGCAAGTACCACCAAAACGAGAGGATGAAAAATATATGCAACTATCAGCCTGCCGAGTTCGAACAAAATGTAATTTATTAATTTAATTTATTTATTACAGTGTCCCCAATAACTTAAAACGAAAAAAACTTTTTTTTGTGTACTTACAATAACTGATTTTACTGTACATCACTTCTGACAAAAAAGTCGATAGTGTTTCTTGAGTAACCTGGAAACAGTACCGAAAACCGCGTGCCGAAAGAGATATTGATTTTTAAAAATACGTCATGTAAACTTAAACTTAACTTAAAAAAAAATATGATGGTAAACTATTTTTAAAAAAACTGCCTTTGTGTTATGTAGAGAAATTTGTGGACAAGTTAACTAAAATTTCGCAACAGTAAGTGTGTTACTAATGGAGGTATTACATTCTGAAAATGTATTGAACACCCTACAACAGAAAAACGTAGGGACTGGCTTTAAACAAGGATAGGGCCTTGAAGAATTATAATTGAGTACACGCTATACAACGTGTACCTGGGACCGAAAGAAAAGTGAAAGCCTAAAGCACATACACGTTCCGCCAACGGTGGGCCTTCCTTCTTGTACAGTACAGTTTTGATAAACTGAAAGCTGACAATTATCTCACCATAGCAAAGAGTACTTAAACCTTCTGCTCATGTTTGTTTAAGCCATCGGTTCATAGTCGAACAAAATCGCACAATATTCAGTTATGTAAGTACGTATATAAATATTGCCTCCATATTAGCTAAACTAGATCCCCTGACTCTCCTTCATGTATTCTGTTAACCCTAAACATGTTCATCCCAGATTGTCTAATTGGTTTAAATGACTATTTTCTTTGTAGATCTGATCGTACTTCATGTGGAGAAAGGGTCTGTTTTTTTTTAAACGCTTTTCAAACCATTCACACGCACAAGTTCTAGCAAAAATTACGGCAATATAGAATTGATTGCGTCACTTGCGTATGTAGCTGTTAGCTGTCAAAGTTTTTCGTTGGTGAGCATCTACCGACCACCTGGACGCTGGATAGTTGATTATTATCAGCTATTATTCCATAATATAAGAGCATTTTACTCCAATTTGTTAATATTTGGAGATTCTAATTTCAATTCTAATTCAAAAATCTTTTGGTCCGCCATTTTGTTCGCTAACTTACTGTTGGAAACTAACTTAATGCAAGTGGTGTCATTTCCCACTGACTCTTCGTTTTGGACAAACACCTTTCCTAATAGGTTTGGTTCTTACGAACTATCCCAAACTTTGATATGAAAATAAATCAGCATTCTCCAGTTGGTATCTCTGATTACTGTGTTATCGAAGGTTTCATACAGTATCATATCTACCTACAAAAACAGGAGGGACTTCAAGAGTGACTTTGATCGGTTAAATTTTGATTTAGTCAAATTAAATTGGAACTAAAGCATGGGATATTTTACTAAAATCATATTTGATCTTATCTCTCAAAACATTTCAACTTTTAATATTAAATATAATCGTACCAAATCCTGGATTACTGACCGCCTTTTAACATGAGCTAAAACAAAAAAACGTGGTTGAACAATTATCATAAAGTTTCTGCTTCACAAAATGACTACGATAAATATCGAACTTGTTCCAACAAGTTAAAAAGTGATCTTTGCTTTGCGAAATACAAGTATGGAACAATTTAGTACTGCCTTCAAAAATAAATTACAAAATCATGTTAATGATCTTAAAAAGAACATACACGGAGTATCAGGGGTTGAAATTGCCAAATTTTAGTAAGTGGTAGTTTAGGCTATATTGAATCAAAAACCTTAATAACATTTTGAACTTAGATCTACAATGATTGTGTTACTGAAGGCACAACTTGCAAGTATCCATGTTTGAGAACGACTGTACAATTTCATAACTGTGGTGCATTTGGCCTGCACTTTAGCTCGTTACCAAGGATTTAAATTGTTACAACACTTTGGAAAGAATAAAGCCACCATCGAACTGAACATACCTGCTTGAAAAGTTCTACTTGCATAGAATTTCCATCACCGAAGTGGAGAAAGCGGTATTACTTTCCCAATCTAACGACACGGTCCATGAAATAAAAAAAATCGTATGTACCTAAATATAGCACTGACTTCGTCTATCAGTTCGTGTCGAACACAAGGACGAGGTAGGTCGCACCATATGATCTTATTAGGGTATAACTCCGAGGAGTACACGCTTACTGCTCGGAGTTATAAGCTTATTAGTTGTCAGCATCAGATACTACAATCATCGACTGATAAAATTTATAATGGGCAAAAATACAGTACCTACACATACAAAAATGTCATTTCTGCAGGCATATCTTGGAAGCTAAGTGACGCGTCTGAAATTTCACAATATTTTCATCTATGGTGTAGGTACCAGAAAAGGTAGGTTTATTCTTGATGATAGCGGACATGAAGTGGACTTGATGTCGGCACGCCACATGATTTTAACATGCAACAGTTTTGCGATATTCTGGTACACTACCAACAAATCGGCGAAGAATTTATTAAACCGCATACCTAGCTGGATGCATTAAAAAAATTACAAACATATTCATTAAAACGTTGTTAATTCTTTCAACATTCCCACATAAACATTAGTCTGTTTATTATTATAGTTAATCTTGTCCAGTGTCACACTGACCTAAGAAAATTGTATCTACAAAAACATGTTTGTAAATTCGACTTTATAAAGCGTAATCTAGGTGTGACAAAACTGCAGACAGCCTAGAGTACAAACGTTAATATTAATCGCCTTCGATGATTTAAGACGGTGATGCAACAAGTCGTACGGTTGACGTTCAGATTTCTATTAAACCTTTACCGGTCCAGTGAATAAGCTCTCCATTAATGACTGAGTTTATTTCCGTTTGTTTAACTTGTTACATCGCATTAACTCTAGTGAACGAATCATTGAAAATTATAATTGTTTCATAATCAGGAAATAAAAAATAAATTAAATATTTTGTAGGTAGTCTGAAAGTTACACCAAGAAAATAATAGTATATTAAAGAACGAGTTTCATAAGGCCAATATTAAGGCACGAATCCAAGTTTATAGAACGAGCGGCGAAGCCGCGAGTTATATAAAAGATGAGTGCTACAATGACCTTATGAACGAATTATTTATACTATTTGAAGTTCGAATTTTCACAACAATAACTGTAATTCGAATCAATTCGAGTTAAAATTGGTTAAAATGTCTTGTGAAGAAGTTAGTGAAGTCCTTACGCCTCCCGGAATACGGGAAACTAAACATTTGCCACTGACATTCACCTGAAATTTCTCGTCACCAGATCTATTTCAGAACCCCTTTCCACTATTAACGAACCGCTATGACGTCATTTGGGTGCTTTAATAGCTCTATTAGAAAATCAAAAAACGTGCGCGGTGGCAAAAAAATGCTTTAGAAATTATAGCAGCGATCCCGTTCGTACAACTCACAAGTATTTTCCCCAATGTGTAGTCACCGTCTACAACGAGTGGTATACTGGGGCAGTTCTTTATGTTTATATTTTAAAATTTTCATAGGTGTTTAAAAGAAAAAAAATATTGCCAAAATTAGTTCACACTAATGAAAATACATACTTACACCACGATATACCAGTCACCGAACCCTGATTATTCAAATACATACATATAAACCAATCGGGGGGAATATTTGTTATAGCGAATAAAAAA